CTCTCTCTCTCTCTCTCTCTCTCTTTCTCTCTCTCTCTCTCTCTCCCCCTTCCTCACACCTGTACGAGTAAAGGAGGTTCTCGAGCGCGTTGCGAGCCTCGTTTGCGGCACGCACCGCTTCGTCCTGAGCCCGGAAGGCCCGTTCTCTCTCGCGCGCCTCCTGCGCGCGAAAAGAGGACAGACAAACAAAAACGGGCGGAATTATAGGTAAGCTACAGGGCATGCCGCAGATTTGTCGTTTCGGATGTGCAGGCAGTCGGCGTGGACGAAGGGGGGCGTACTCATGTTTTGCATGTCTTAGCGGTTAGACCATCGGCCACAGACGGAGGGGGCACAATAAATAAAACATGGGGACGGTAACTTACGTAAAGCAGTTTTGCAAAAGCCACAGGGGAATGGTGACGTAAGTGGAGCAGTTTTGGCATCTCTAGACCGCAACGCTCTCGCACATCCAACCAGGCCGTATCCGTCTCTTCAAGGGAGCGCGCCGCCACATGGCGTGGCGGAAAACGAGAGACGCGTAAGGCCACGCAATTCAAAAGCGTCCCCCTCACTCGTCCTCTCAAAGACGCGTGGTTCAAAAACTAAGACATGCAAAACAGGGGAGTACGCTCCCCCATCCCCGCACCTCTAGCGCCGGCCCTTCCAGCATGCCGCTGTACGTCTGCTTCAGACGCACGGGTCGGCTTCGCCGGCGCGTGAACACCCGCGGCACCTTGATCTTCTTCTCGGCCTCGACACGCCCGACCGGCGTCTTCTTCTCCCCGCCTTCCCCCTCCCCTTCCTCCCGCGACCCCTCCCCTCTAGCCCTCTGTTCTTCCGGCGTCCCCTCTACATCGTCCTCTTCTGCAGCTGCCGCCGTTTCCATTTTCGAAACGTCGCTGCTGCTGCTGCTGCTGCTGCTGCCCTCGCTTGCCTCTTCCGCCGCCCCCCTTTCTCCTAGCGCTCCGGCTTGTCCGCTTGCCGCTTCCGCACGACCCTGCCGTCGCCTCTTCGCGGAAGCAGCCTCACTGCCGCTTTCGTTCCCATCGCCACGGCCGTCACCGCCGCCTACCGGAGAGGACCCCTCCTCCTCCTCCTCCTCCTCCTCCTCCTCCTCCTCCTCTTCCTCTTCCTCCTCCTCCGGCGACGCCGTCGCTGACGGTGTCGCCGTAGAGGGCACCGGGGCGGGCACCTCCACGAGTTCCGTCACTTCTTCATCGTACTCCAGCCTGGACGCATGCAAACACACGACACAAAAGACGCACGGCGTACGCACGAGTAAGTACGCGATGTTAGAGGAGTATCGGCCCCTTTCACGATTATGCTCGCAGCCCAATGATGTAACAAATAAGGCATGCAAAGAGATGCCGAACACCCTTAGCAGGATGCAGCGCACCCTTCATGCGACTCGCCGAGTACCTCACGGTGCTTCGCGCTTGGTGATGTGAGAGCCTGGTCCGGTGATAACCCGGCGTTCTCCGTCCCGGCTTTGTAGGGATGCGAGATCAATGGTCCAACGACTACGGCATGCACGACTATGAGCAAACCCACGCCCCCCGTTGGCTTCCCAGACCGATCCCCTTCACCAGAAGAACGCCCACCTCGCGGAGTGCACGCTCGGCACCCCTCCATCGTCCACCCGGAAGAAAAACTTGACCTTGGTCGCCGCCACCGCTGCCGCCCGTTCGTTCGCCGCCGCCGCCGTCCTTGCCCGCCCCGCCCCCCACCCCCACGACACCCCCTTCCCCCTTGCGCTCGGTGTTGACTGAGCCAGGTCGATGACGTAGCTCGCAACGCGCTCCGCGCCTTCCATCAGGTGCACGTGGAGCCTTCCGCGCCCCCCGTGCTGCCCTCGATCTCTCCTTCCCAGGTCCACCGGCACTTCCGTAGAGCACGGGATCGGCGTGCCGGCGGGGACGTCCACCTCGCCGGTCGAGATCCCCCCGCCACCCCCCCCCGTCTCCTCGCCCGCACCTTTGCCGTTTAGCAACGAAGAAGGCAGCCACGACCTCGAGGAGGAATCTCGGCTGCCGCTAGTTGCGCCCGTGTCACGGGCGTCCGCCGACCCACCACTGCTACTGCTGTTGTCCTCGTCGTCGCTGTCGGCGGGCTCATCGCCGGCGCCGCCGTCGTATCGCCAGACCAGGCGAAGGTTTCTGGTGAGGGAGTCCACCACCTGGAAAGGCCTGACAGGAAAAGTGGAGGGGGGGGGGGTGAAGAGCCAAAACCTTCTTGTGCTTGACAGCAATTTATTGTGCTTTGCGGAACGGAGTGTTGAGCGGAATCCCCGCATCAGTGGTGGTGGGATTGTCCGTGGCTGTATTTCAACCAAAGGAGGCACCGTGCCGCAACCAACGGGGTTTGGTGAGATCAGGCAGGACCAAAAAAATGTACAAGCGCTACGAAAGCGGTAGTGCATGACATGCTTAGCAAAAGCCACAGCCGTATGCGAGTGGACTCCAACTCAAGACCGGTACAACATCAAATCACCGAGTAATAGCACATGTACCACGAAAACGGTTCACGCTCGAAACAAAAAAATAAAAAGTACTCGGTCTTCGGGCCGAAGAGCTACATCGCAGGTAGAGGTGCGCAAACCATTCAACAGAAAACTACTACCATCGTAGTAACACAAAAAAAAAAACAACAACAGCTGATCGGACAAGTGGGGAGACTCTGCTGCAGGGAGAGAGTAGTACCTCAGCTTGAAAATGGAGCTACGCTGGGCGGCGGCGAGCGCGCACCCTCTCGCCACACTCTCCGAGGAGCTCATGGTCCGTCGCACTCGATCCCTGCACAAGGCCATTAGTTAGACGCACAGCGAACACACAAAACATACACGAGACACACACATGCGCATGAGACACAAACACACATGAGACCAAGAAGCACATAAACATCCACATGAGACACAACACACAAGTAGAAAAATGAGACACAAAAAGACAGACGACATAAAACAAGAAGAACAAAAACGTGATAACTGGCACACAACACACGTGAGATCAAGAAGCACACGACCATACGCGATACACAAACATACACACATGAACGATAAGAACGCCAACGAACACGTCGGTGGCAATGACGGGGGCAGGGATGGGGAACGACAAGGCGAAAGAGCCGCCGACAGGGTGACGAGAGTCGGAGACAAGTGAGGAGTGAGCACAAAAAAGGAGCCAGCAGAGTCCTGATCAACCAGCCCAGCAATCTGCAAACACAAAGAGGAAGGCGATCAAATGGCAAAATGAAGACAACCCAAAAGGAAAGGAAAGGAAAGGAAAGGAAAGGAAAAAAAAAAAGCTGCGTTCCATGCTACAGCCTACGGTAGCGCTACCAAGCCTACCAAAAATGCCTAAAAATAAAAAAACATTTGGCAGACTTCGTCTACACCCCTTGAAACACAAAGGCCCTCCACAGCCCTCCAACGCCGCCTGTCGCTCAGAAGCTTATCATCGTTCGACCCACAATGTCCCACGGGGGGAGCAAGCAAGCTAACCAAGAGTTCCGGCTAACCTGAAAGTGCCCTCCACGGAGCGGCGCAGCAGAGGGATGTAGCTGCCCCCGCCGAGAAGCTCGACGTCTTCAACGTCCTCGGCCGCCATCCCCGCGGAGCGTAACGCCTCTCGACACGCGGTGGAAACCCCTTCGGCGACCCCGGCGCAGGCTTCCTCGACTTCTTCCCTGGTCAACGTGATCCTGTACAACAAAAAAAAAGGGTGAAATTTTTTATGAGGAAAAATATATACACAGGAAGACTATAATACCCACATACCCACATACCCACATTCGAACGGGATGTGGTGCAATGTGGTGGAGTCTTTACAGCAGTGAGTGGAGGAAAACCGGCTGGCTGGGTACTGGACTTGTAATGCATAAATCGTCCTTGAGAGATATGTAGACAGACGTGGGGGACTTTGACCCTATATATATATACATATATGAGATTGTACCGTTTATCTGAGAGGCGGTCTCCACGCAAGAAGGAGGAGCTCTATGTTCTGTCTCGATGGCACTGCGGCGCAGGCTTTCTCGACTTCTTCCCCGAACAACGTAATCCTGGTAAAGAAACGAAGAGGGTGTGAAAATAAGACATCAATCGCCCCTCGACGGACGTGTTGGGGAGACTGTACCCTTTGTATGAGATCGTACCCTGTATATGAAAGCGACCTCCGCACAAGGAGAAGGAGCTCTCTGTTCTGTCTCGATGGTAAGACGGGTGCACGGCAACAGCGGTGGGTCCTCTCCACACGCTGTAGTTGGTGATTGACAGGCATTGTCGTTCGGCTTGGTGCCCAAGGTTTCACGTGATACTGGTATTTACAGGTGATAGGTGCTACACCCGCTACTTGCATTTTATTAGGGTACTTTTGTGTTTGTCGGCTTGGTGCCCAAGGTTTCACGTGATACTGGTATTTATAGGTGATAGGTGCTACACCCGCTACTTGCATTTTATTAGGGTACTTTTGTAGGATGTGCGAGGATACGGCAGCGAAACGCATGATACAGAGCACAGGCAAGTCTGTGTTCGATCTTCCCGGGTGACGATAAACAACGCGCAGCCTCTCTCGTGGTTGCCTGGGCTTGAAGAAACGGCGTCATGGAAAAGATAAAGATAAGCATACTAACAAGCGGGGGGGCAATCGCCTCTTTGCGTCCAGGATGCCGAACACAGCCGTGTCTTCCCAGCAAGATAGTTCGGATGCGAACCGCTGTCGATTCACCTAAGGTGTCAACTCACGCTAGGTCCTTGTCGCCATCGATGCAGTCCACGCTCAGGCGAGCTTCCTTATTGGCGCTCAGGGTCTTCATCGCCGACGTCAACGCCTTGGCAAGGCGGAACTCCGCCCGCGGTCTACCCTCGACGGTTATACCCTGCTCGCTGTACAACCATGCCACATGCAATCGGGCAAGAATGACGGCGGGTTGCACAAGCGGGAAGGAACGTGAGCGGGGCGTGGGATTGTGCCCGTCTCCCAGCGACAATCGTGTTTGGAGGCGTTCGTTTTGAGGGGGGGCGGCCGTACAGCTGCTAGTAAGCGTCGTTCGATCCTATGCACACGAATGCACGACAAAAACTGTGTGTTGTTGTGAAGGGAGGATCACATCCAGGTTGACCCAACTCCACGTCAGCCCTCCATGCACGCCAAGGGGACTCAAGAAAATCTTGAGACGACGCACAACTACAACTACAACCGCTAGGACACACTAGTCAAAAGGCTGCACCCAAAGCTGCAGCAGTACTACTATGGCACAATCGAAACTAAACTTTACCTTGCCGCGCGGCAGACGCGGTCGTACACGCAAGCCTCCGCCGCGGCGGTACCCCCTTCCTTCGAGCACCCTCGGCCGAGCACTGTCAGCCCCGACGTCGTGAACGATGCCACTGTCACCTTTTTTGTTGGTGTTTGCGTGTGCGCCGTGTGTGCGTACGGGAGCGGAACAGTTAAGAAGAGAGAGAAGCGCGGTACGTACGCAGACGCGTCCTGATGGTCTCAAAAAACGGCATTTTGTTGACGATGCCGTCGTGAGCCGACTCACATGTAGGTCGAGTGGTAGCCGAAACGACGGGTCTACATACCGCTCCCCGACAAAGTGTACAGAGAATACTTGCTAAACACCTAAACAGAGATTATTGTACACTGTCGATGCCCCCCCCCCTCCCCCCCGGCATTGTAGGAGTCGGAGTGCGCCGCCAATGGTCCAAGGACTACGTACG